ATGATTTTGATAATAACATGCCAACATTGGTTCATTCATTGTAACACGTGTATCTTACTAATATAAGATATTAATAATATGAGAAACTGGGTGCAGGATATATATGAACTCTCTGCACTATCTTTGCAATTTTTTCTTTGAAAATAAAGTTTATTTTAAAATATGTAGTCCTTATAGTGGTAAAGAACCCGCCTGCCAGTGTGGAGAAGTAAGAGATGTGAGTGTGATCCCTCGGTGGGGAAGATCCCCTGGAGGAGGGTACAGCAACCCACTCCAGTATTCTTGCCTGGAGAATCCCATGGACAGAGGAACCCGGCAGTTTACAGTCCTTAGGGTTGCAAAGAGTTGGACACAATTGAATCAACTTAGCATGCACTCACGCATACAAAGACAACGACAAAATTTTAGCCAGCAATATGGAGTAAGTAGAAAGACTTATCATTTTCCTGGATAAAAAAATTGCTTTTGTAAAAAATTCCTCCCTGAATAGTTATTTAAAAAAATCAGCTCAATTTCCATCAAAATAGCAAAAAAATTTCTGAAATTAAAAAATATATTTGTAAATTTCATCTGAAGAACTAATTAGTATGAAGAATCAGAAGTGTTTTAAACCTAAATGAAAATGGTCACAGATATGAAATCAAATATTATATTTATAAACATTAAAACGGTGTTATATTGTTGCCAGAAGAGATCCTCATTAGGACAGAATAGAATATTCCAAAACAGGTACACTGGTTTATACACAAGTATATGTATTGTGAATATAAGGTTAGAATTTTAAATCAAAGAGGAAATGGAAGATGATTTAATAAATGATGTTGGAATATAATAAATGATGTTTATATCTGAGCTCATCAGCTAAGACATACATAGATACGTAAAACTCCCTATATGTACAAACTAAATTCCAGATAAATTAAAAAGTGAGGCCACAGAAGAACCCCCACCCCCACTCCTTCAAAATATACGTGATGATGTATCTGACAGCTAGCAGGAACAGCTATTTTTTTAGATGTACAAAGAAAAAAATAATAAATTAAAGTATTGGCATATTCACATAAATATTAAAAACTTTCCTGTGTTTAAAAACGTCCCCCTACCCCCTTGAAAAAAAAAGACAATGATGAAATGGAAACAAAACTTAGCAACATCTATAAGAAAGAATTAAGATAATTAAATATAAATAAATTCCTATATCTGTAATGAAAAAATGTAACATGTCCATGGAAGAAACATCCAAGAATACCAGACCTTATTCACAAATAAGACAGTATAAGCCTAGCAGTTTAGCCTGGGGTTTCCCTGATGGTTTAATGGTTAAGAATCCTCCTGCCAATGCAGGGGACATGGGTTTGATCCCTGATCCTGGAAGATCCCACATGCCACAGAGCAACTAAGCCCATGGGCCACAACAACTGAGCCCACACACCCTAGAGCCTGTGCTCTGCAATGGGAGAGGCCCTTGCAGTGAGAAGCCTGTCCCCTGCAACTAGAGAAAGCCCTCGGGCAGCAAGGAAGACCAGTGCAGCCAAAAATAAACTAATTGATTAATTTTAAAAAATAATTTAGCCTGATCAGCAGTAAAAAAAGAAATTTAAATTAAAATGTTGTCATTTTTCTTTTTTTTTTTTTCAGTGTTACAGCTCTATTTTATTTAGATGATAGCAGGAAAATCCATCTTCGAGGTGTGAGGGCACTTCGATCCAAAGACAGGAAGAGAAGAGCGCCCCATTGTGCAGGAGAGAGAGAGAGAAAGAAAGAGCTTACTGAGAGAGAAGGAGAGGGAGAGAGAGAGAGAGTGAGCCCATACACATGCGTGGGAGACGGAGAGAGAGGGGGGAGAGAGAGAGAGAACCCTTTGGCTCCTCTGTTTATATGTCTTTTTCTTCCCCCCGGGCCTGTCCTATGCAAATTGGGTGTAGGCAGGAGCGCTCTTCTACCTGAAGTCCTCACTCTGGTCCTCGACCTTCATTTGACCTTCCTCTGTTTTATTTTCGCGCGCTTTTCCCTTCTTTGTCTTTTAGCCACCGCCATTTTGGACTCCTTTTCCCTCTTCTAACTACCTAACATTACCCCCTCAAGAGATGGGAGGCCCAATTCTTTGGGAATAGGGGCGTCGAGGTCTTTCTGGCTACTTCCTGCTGAACTGGGACGGTGAGGGGCATTGGGCCTCCCCCGCTTGATAGTCTCAGGCCTCGGAGTCCTTATAGTGGTGTCCATCTAAGGGTGACTGATGTTTTCTGTGGTTGGCTGTAGTTTTATATCTTTGATGAACTGGCACTGCATGCTGTAGCTTGACAGGTGTATTGAGTATCCTCTTCTGTTTTCTTCCACAGCTTGACTCGTGAGTAGTGAATCCAGGAGTCATGTCCTGGCACCTTGACTGCTGGTGGCAGAGGCTTAGCCTCTATGATCTCAAAATTGGAGACTACTGCATATCCAGCTCTTCTTTTTCCATCCAAGACAAAGCTGCTTCCATCAGTGTACCAGATTTCCTCTAGATTGGTCAGAGGATCTTCTGACAATCCCTCTCGGGGTTTTGTCCAGTGGTCCAAGGTTCCTAGGTAGGAGTGAAAGGGGAGAGAGCCCTCGGGGGTAGGCAGGAGGGTGGCTGGGTTAAGAACCTCACAAGGGGATATAGTGAGGCCTGGATTTTCCGTCAGTATTACTTGATATCTGAGGATTCTCAGATTTTTTTTTAAAGATTTTTTTTAATCTTTCATCAGAAAAGGTGTTTTTTTTTTTTTTTATGATAAAGCTAATTGTTGGTTAGGAGTAGAGAAAAATAGATCCCCTCTCATACTTTTAGAGGGAGTATAAACTGAAGCAATACTTTTGGAATGTAACCTAACAGGAAAGTATCAAAAAGAAATGTATAGTTTCTGACCAAGACAATATTTGAGCACCATGACATAAGCACTTCAGGATAAGCTATAGAGCAAAAATTTAAACCCTTAAAGATGGTGTGGGGCAGGGCTGATGCATCGAACTATAGTTTACCCCCAGGACAGAATGTCTGATGACAAGTGAAAAATCACACTGAAATTATAAAAAAAAAAAAAAAAAGCCAAATGCGTAGGGACAGAAAACACATCAGGGGCTTGGGGTCAGGGAGAAGTCAATTGCAAATGACCACGGGAGAACTGGGGACAAGGGGGTTGGTGATGAAAACGTTCTGTATCTGAGCTGGTGGTTGCACAACTGTAAAGGTTTGTCCAAACTCATAGAAATATACACAGAAGCTGTGGTACATATACACCATGGAATATTACTCAGCCATTAAAAAGAATTGATTTGAATCAGTTCTAACGAGATGGGTGAAACTGGAGCCCATTATACAGAGCGAAGTAAGCCAGAAAGATAAAGACCATTACAGTATACTAACACATATATATGGAATTTAGAAAGATGGTAACGATAACCCTATATGCAAAACAGAAAAAGAGACTCAGATGTATAGAACAGACTTGTGGACTCTGGGAGAAGGCGAGGGTGGGATGTTTCAAGAGAACAGCATTGAAACAAGTATACTATCAAGGGTGAAACAGATCACCAGCCCAGGTTGGGTGCATGAGACAAATGCTCGGGCCTGGTGCACTGGGAAGACCCAGAGGGATCGGGTGGAGAGGGAGGTGGGAGGGGGGATCGGGATGGGGAATACATGTAAATCCATGGCTGATTCATTTCAATGTATGTCAAAAACCACTGCAATGATGTAAAGTAATTAGCCTCCAACTAATAAAAATAAATGGAAAAAAAAAAAAACAAAAGTTGAGTCTGGGGGTTTCCCCTGGCAGTCTAGTGGTTAAGACTCTGCCCTTCCACTGCAGGAGTCTCAGGCTCCATCCTTGGTCAGGGATCTTAATCCTGGCATGTCTCATGTAACACACTGCCCCCCCCCCCCACAAACTGAGTTTTACTCCATGTAAATTATACCTCAGTAAATATAACTTTTAAAAAATCCAGTTGAAGAATATCAAACAACTTGTGCTTAGTCCCTCAGGTGTGTCTTTTTGTGACCCCACGGGCTGTAGCCCGCCAGGCTCCTCTGTCCAAGGGGACTCTCCAGGCAAGTATACTGGACTGGGTTGCTATGCCCTCCTCCAGGGGATCTTCCTGACCCAGGGATGGAACTCAGGTCTCCTGCATTGCAGGTGGACTCTTTACCCTCTGAACTACCAGGGAAGCCCATGAACACTGGAGTGGGTAGCCTTCTCTACCCACTCCAGTGGGTAGATCTCCCTTCTCCAGGAGATCTTCCCCACCCAGGAATCGAACAGGAGTCTCCTGCATGACAGGCAGATTCTTTACTAGCTGAGCTACCAGGGAAGCCCATTAAACAGCTTGAGGAAATATAAACGGCAGATTGAATAAGTAATTTGCAAAGTAGCATGCAAGTGTGATTGGAACTTGGAAGTGAGGTTTCACGTTCTGAGAGTGATGGAGATGGGGTGGTCTTGGCGAGACAGACTGGAAGGAAATGCACTAAGATCTACCAGTATCTCCGTCTGGAAGTGAAATTAAATTTTCTCCTTGCGCTCTGTGTGGTGGTTTTTTTTTTTTTTTTTGCCGCGAACAACACTTCTGTCATCAGGGGGCAAAATGTTACACTTGGAACCCCGGTCCACTTGCAGCGTCTTTCGGGTGCTTTAAGGTTCTCTTCCTTTTGGTGGAGCCACCAAACAAGAGAGAAACCCATTCGGGCGGGGGGCGGGGGGGGCAACCACCGGTGGGTAGAAGAGAGCCGGAGGAGAGGGGCGGGTGAAGAGAGGGACCGGTGGGGTGAAGGCGGGGGGCGGGCGCGTAAGACTCGGGCGTAGGGATGGCAAGCGGGTGGGGGCGGGCGAGCAGGCGAGCAGATTGTGCTATCCTGCGTCTAATTGGGGCAGAGATGCTGCGAGGGGCCGGCCGCGTCCCTATTGGTTCTTCGGACAATCACAGCACCTCCTGGAGCTTAATCATTTCCTGAGGTCAGCTGCAGCGAAGAGGGCGTCACCATGATAAGTGAGTTTCTCCTTCCCATCAGGCGGGCGTCCTGGGCAGGGGGCGGCCCTCCCAGACCCCAACCCATCAAGGGCCAGAGGACTCGCTTCTTTCCCTCAGTACTTCAACTCTCTCTCTCTCCTCTCTCTCAAGAACGAGCGGCGGCCGCTGCGATCGGAGGAGGTGACTTGCCTGCATCCCTGCATCCCCGAATCGCCAGGCCTTCACCTGGTCCCGGTCCGGGGCTGGATGGGGGGCCTTAGAGAGGGCGCTCCCCCTCCTCTCCCGGAGCCGCTGGGGTGATTCTTAGGGACCGAGAGCGGTACACCGTAGGAAGAGGACCCAGCGATCCCCCACGTAGCTGCTCCTCTAGTCCTTATATGTAAAGAGCATGTAGAGAAGATTTCATTTGGAAGGGTATTTGCTGCTAAAAACAGCAGTGGTTTGTTGGTTTATTTCACCCCCACACTGACACACACACACACACCCTGAAGCCCAGTTAGAGACTCAAATAGGTGCTTCCCCTAAACAACTGTCCCTAACTGGCTCCACAACTCCCTTCCCACACCTTCGGACCCCTCTCCAAGCGGCTGTCTCCCGTCTGCTCCGAGCAGACAGTCCCCACACCTTCGGACCCCTCTCCAAGCGGCTGTCTCCCGTCTGCTCCGAGCAGACACTCCCCAGAAACTGCCAAGCACTCCTAAGGAGGGGTCCACTCCCCTGAGCCCATGCCCCCGACCCCAAAGCTCCTCTCTCCCTGCAGCCCTGGCCGTGGCGGCTGTGCCCGCGGTGCTGGGCGCCGTGGGCTTCAGCGGGGCTGGAATCGCCGCCTCCTCCATCGCGGCCAAGATGATGTCAGCGGCCGCCGCGGCCAATGGGGGCGGAGTTGCCGCCGGCAGCCTGGTGGCCACTCTCCAGTCCGTGGGTAAGGGTCCGGGCCGGAAGCGGGGCGGGGGGAACAGAGGGGAGGAGGGTCCGACCGGCACTAGAGTCGGCCCGAGGCTCTGACGGAGGGCTGGCTGGCCCCTCCCCTCCAGTCTCGTGGTCCTCAATGTCCCTGGTTCTTCGTCTCTCCCTCACTGTCCTCCCTGAGTCCTGGCTGAGCCTTGCAGGCAGGAGTGGAGTGGAGGGCTGAGGGCGTCCTGGGAAAGAGAAGAAGGGAAGGAGCCCAGGGCTTGTGAGAGCTGGGCTCTGGGTCTTTGTTGTTGTTTAGTCACCAGGTCGTGTCTGACTCTTTTCAGACCCCATGGACTGCAGCCTACCAGGCTCCTCTGTCCATGGGATTTTTCAGGCAAGAATACCAGTGTGGGTTGCCATCTCCTTCTCCAGTGGATCTTCCCACCAAAAATCGAACCCGCATCTCCTGCATTGGCAGGTTCTTTACCACGGAGCAACCAGGGAAGCGTGGGCTCTGGGTCTAGCCCTGCCCAAATCTGACACCTGAGTGGCCTGGGCAGGTCCCCTCCCCTGTCTGAGCCTCAGTGGGACCTGTCGCTCTTGGGGTCTGTGGCTGACTCTCTCTCTTTACCCCCTTCTCTGGCTCTTTCAGCTGCCTCTAGCTCCCTCTGCCCAAAGCAGAGCCCTGGGGTATTCAGGACCTAGAGGAGGCATCCACATGGGATCTCTGGGCCTCAGGCCTTCTGAGGGGGTCCCAGTCACTCGCCACTGGACCCTTCCTGCACTCACCCTCTGTCTCTCCCACAGGGGCAGCTGGACTCTCCACATCATCCAACATCCTCCTGGGCTCCGTTGGATCAGCTTTTGGGGCTTTGCTTGGAGGGGCAAAAAGGGCACCTCCTTCCCCTCCTCCAGGTGGATCCAGACCTGAAGGAGAGCAGCCAGGAGAAAATGTACCCCAAGTCGAGCCTCCAAAACCCCCACTCAGGCCAGAGAAGCATGAGAAATAAAGATCATCTGCAGATGTACCTCCATGTCTTTGCACCTTGCAGCCCTGGGGGGTTGTGAGTTGTGAACCAGAAGTTTCGATTTCTCCCCATTCTCCCAACCTGATGGGCTTCCCAGGTGACTCAGTGGTAAAGAATCCACCTGCCAATGCAGGAGACGTGAGTGCAGTCCCTGGGTCAGAAAGACCCCCTGGAAAAAGGAGATGGCAACCCACTCCAGTATTCTTGCCTGGGAAATCCCATGAACAGAGGAGCCTGGTGGGCTACAGTCCATGGGGTTGCAGAGTCAGACATGACTTAGCAACTAAACCACCACACTCCCAACCTGTCTTCTGGTGGGGGGCAGAGGGGGGTGGCTGGCTGATCAAGCACAGTATCACTTGGCAGGAGGCTCTCATTGGTCCCCATCTTACAGAGCATGGGCTGTATAACCCAGGGCCATTCGTGGGCCATCAGTGGGTCTCAGTTTACCACTCACTCAATAATGCTGAGTGCTTACTTGCTCAGTCATGTCCAACTCTTCACAACTGCCTGGACAATAGCCCACCAGGCCCATCTTTCTATAGGCAGGTAGGCACTCATGGTAGCATATAGGATGCATATAGAGCCACTGACCCCAGATCCCTCTGCCCTTGCTCATTAATGGACACCAGACATCCAGAGGTGGTCAGGACACCGGCCTTTCTCAGAACGCTGCGGGGAGCCTGACAAGCAGACCACCAGGACAAAGACACTGGAGTGTGCCAAGTGTTACAGTGGGCACCTTGAGAGGAAGAGATGGGGTCAGGAGTGGTCCCTGCGCTTTGTGTCTGGAAAATTGAAAGGGAACTGGCATTTTCCAGTTCCTCCCCTGGCAACAAGAGTTCTTGGTCTCCTTTGAGACTCCATTCCCATCCAGAGTGAGCTCTCACTTCCTTCCAGAGAGGCCTCATTCTCTGGAGTCTTTTTAAAGGAGGAGATCATCAGTTCTAAAACTGCTGCTCCTGACCCTGTGAAGAAGGAGGGGCTGCTTAGGACACAGGAAGCTGGAGAGAGTGTTACTCCCCCCGACAATAAGAAAAAGCCTGAAAACCTACAAAAGCATAACTTTCCTTGAACCCCTGAAAGAGCTGAAGAGGCAGGGCCACCAGATGGGCCTGAATTCTCAGGGAGATCAGGTTCCTCCAAGGAGAACCCTGGAGACCACCCTGGGCAGAGCACAGGAGGGAGCTGGGGCCAGTGCAGGGGGGTGTAAGTTCAGCTGAAAGCCTTAACTATCCTTAGGGGCAAGGGTAGGCTACCATGAGTTCAGGGGGGCCCCGGGGAGTTACAGTCACAAGGATGGATGCTTCAGGCCAGCCTGAAGGTTCTTCTCCCAGGACCCACTGGGCGCTCCCAAGGAAGACTGGAGGCAGGAGGAAATCCAGGGAAAATGTCCCTCATTGAGGCAAGACTGGCAGAGGGGAGCTGCAGCCCCACCCCCTAGGGAACAAAAGCCTTATTCTGCTAGGGCAAGGAGAGTAAACGGTAGTCCGCAGAGCACAGGTGAAGATCATTGTAGACGGGAGAGAAAAAGAGAAAAAAAAAAACACCTTTCCCCCTGAAGTTGGGGTGCTAACCTTTCTGGACTCGGATGGTAATGCTCTGCCCACCACTGGGGCAGATGTCCCTCATTGAGGCAAGACTGGCAGAGGGGAGCTGCAGCCCCACCCCCTAGGGAACAAAAGCCTTATTCTGCTAGGGCAAGGAGAGTAAACGGTAGTCCGCAGAGCACAGGTGAAGATCATTGTAGACGGGAGAGAAAAAGAGAAAAAAAAAAACACCTTTCCCCCTGAAGTTGGGGTGCTAACCTTTCTGGACTCGGATGGTAATGCTCTGCCCACCACTGGGGCAGCAGGGGTAGGGGAAGGGTATCCAGAAACCAGTGCCCCCAAGTCCAGGTCCACAGCGCCTGTGAAGACTGAGACCCCCCTGGGGCCACAGAGAACCCCTCGGCCCTGGCCGCCAGGCTAGCAAAGGACAAGCAACACTGCAGGAAGGCCAGGGAACCCAGACGTGAAGTTGCTGGATCACAGACGGCAGCCATAGGAACAACAAACTCCAGACCCCCAGCTGAACTCCTGATCAGATCGACCTCCCGTGCGCAGGGCACGCGTGCCCAGTTGTGCCAGACTGTACAGGGGTCTGCCGGGCGCAGGGGGCGAATCTGTGTCTTCTGCATTGGCAGGCGGATTCTTTATCACTGAGCCACCTGGGAAGCCCGCTCCTCGCCCCGCTCCCTCGCTGGCCAGGCACCTCGTGCAGGGCCCAGCATAAATTCCGTTCACCTCTGTTTCCACTGGGCCAGAGCAACAGATCCTGCGGGAGCTTTGCCCAGGTCTCCCCAACACTGGCTGCCAGTGCCTGCCCGCTGCTCCCCCCTGCCAGGCCCTGCCCCTGGGGGTGACAAGGCAGGCTGGAGGTGTCAGGTGTTTGTCCCCCCCCACCCCCAGAATGGCCCCCAGCCAGGGATGGGTTTTAGTTTTGGGGGATAACTCCCCACCTCCAGAGGTCACATACCAGCACATACCAGCTAAACAGATTTTCAAGAGTTAAACAATCTTGGTTTTTCTTTAGCTGTTACTATTAACACTAACAAATACTTATAGCTAGACTTGCCCTTCACAAAGTTAAACAAAGCTAATTACTCTCTGACTTCATACAAGTTGTATTCTGCACCTGGCATTCTTCTCTCCCACACTCTTGCAGCATCTGCATTTCAAGGGGGATAAAAAAAAGGTCAGGAGACAATATGTTTAGGGACACCAGACCCAGTTCCTCAATTGCCTAAATGCTGTGGCCATTTTGAAACCTTGCAAAAGGAAAAAGAATGATGATAGAAAACCTCTCCCTATTCCCAGGGAGGGGGCGCACAGTCCTTGAGGCCCTAGCCAACTGTGTTTCCCTTTTGCTCCTCAAAAATAAATAAATAAATAAAGCTGCTCTTTTCTTTTTCCTCCAAACTCTATCTCCGTATTTCCATTCCGCATCCGTAGACAGGGAGCCAAGATCTAGGAAACACTAATCTGCACAAGGCCACGGGTCAAGGCCCTTGAGGGTGATCATGCAAACCAGCTGACAGTCCCTAATTCTGTAGTTTGTCAGGGAAAGCCTGGCACAATTTCAGTTTCCCTTTCCATTTCGGTTTCCTTTTCTGCTGGAAGATCCCTGTTTCCAAAGTCACTCACGAGAGTCTGGCGGAGGCTGGCTGGACAAAGGTTGTAATCATTTAAGTGTATCCCTCCCCAACCTCAGGTCTCTCATCAATATGAAGTTATTTGAGTCATTATGAAAGCTATTTTATCTCCCTGAACACAAGCTGATTGCTTGAGCAGGCAGCTGGGACAGAGCTGATGGGCAGCGAGCCAGGTAAAGGCTCCAGATCTCCTGGAAATAACGCACCAAGAAAATGTGAGTTATAGAAAGAAGCCCATCTTCAATAGCAGCCAGAGTCAGGGACTTGGGGTTGTGTCTTACAGGTTCTTTCAACAACATCTGTAAAAACAGGGGCGGCAGTGTGACCTTTCTTGGAATACGGTGTGGATTTTATGTGATGCTTCAAGTGCGGGGTCTTAACCAGAGTAAATATATTTTTATTGTTGTTTACTTTTTTTTATAATTATTGACTTATTTTTATTCTTAAAACATCAAAAATACTATCAAATAACTTTTTTTTTCCTTTTTTTCCCATTTATTTTTATTAGTTGGAGGCTAATTACTTTACAATATTGTAGTGGCTTTTGCCATACATTGACATGAATCAGCCATGGATTTACATGTGCTCCCCATCCCGATACCCCCTCCCACCTCCCACTGGGTCTTCCCAGTGCACCAGCCTCAAGCACTTGTCTCATGCATCCAACCTGGGCTGGTGATCTGTTTCATGCTTGATAGTATACTTGTTTCAATGCTATTCTCTCAGAACATCCAACCCTTGCCTTCTCCCACAGAGTCCAAAAGTCTGTTCTGTACATCTGTGTCTCTTTTTCTGTTTTTCATATAGGGTTATCCTTACCATCTTTTGAAATTCCATATATATGTGTTAGTATACTATATTGATCTTGATCTTTCTGGCTTACTTCACTCTGTGTAATGGGCTCCAGTTTCATCCATCTCATTAGAACTGATTCAAATGAATTCTTTTTAATGGCTGAGTAATATTCCATTGTGTATATGTACCACAGCTTCCTTATGCTGCTGCTCTTGTCCCAGTGTTTTAGAATTGCTCTGGGGGTAAGAGACACCGAGTTTGATCTCTGAGTCAGAAGATCCCCTGGAGGAGGAAATGGCAACCCACTCCAGTATTCTTGCCTGGAGAATCCCATGGACAGAGGAGCCTGTCGTTGGGCTGCAGTCGACAAGGTTGCAAAGAGTTGGGCGACTGAGCACAAACCCTTTCATGTCTGAACCTTCACAGATGTCACATCACTGCAATAACAACAGAAATGAAGTTTCTTTCCTCTCCTGAGAACAAGGGAAGTAAGGGGAACAGGGAGCAGGCTAGAGGAGAAACGTAAACAGGCCTGAAAGTGTTAATCAGCCTCACTTTTAAGAGTTATTAATCTTTAGTGTCTGACTCAATCTGTCCTTCAGAAAGCTAACCTATCACCCCGATACTATGTAAACACAGGGTCCCCAAATCTCTGGGATCTAATGCCTGATGATCTGAGGTGGAGCTGATGTAACAATAATAGAAATAAAGTACACAATAAATGCAATACATTTGAATCATCCCCAAACCATCACCCACCCCATCGGCCCATGGAAAAATTGTCCTCCACATAAACCGTCCCTGGTGCCATAAAGGTTGGGAACAGCTGATGTAAGTTAGATCCTGCACTTGGTATTTGCTCTCTTTGCACTCTCTTATAGCAAATCACCCCTTATAGCTGTTTGCATTTCAGAAAGAAGGTCACAGGTCAATAACCCAGAGATAAATGGATCCAATTACTGGGCTGCCTGACACCAGCTGTGACTGTTTTGAAATAATTCAGGAAGAACAATGCAAGACATTCATTACTTTGAGCCAATAGTTTACCCTAAAACCACAAGACCCAGGCTACATCAGTTAGGTTCAGTTCAGTTGCTCAGTCGTGTCCTACTCTTTGCAACTCCATGGACTGCAGCACACCAGGCCTCCCTGTCCATCACCAACTCCCGGAATTTATTCACACTCATGTCCATTGAGTCGGTGATGTCATCCAACCATCTCATCCTCTGTCATCCCCTTCTCCTGCCTTCAATCTTTCCCAGCATCAGAGTCTTTTCAAATGGGTCAGTTCTTCGCATGAGGTGGCCAAAGTATTGGAGTTTCAACTTCAACATCAGTCCTTCCAATGAATATTCAGGACTGATTTCCTTTAGGATGGACTGGTTGGATCTCCTTGCAGTCCAAGGGACTCTCAAGAGTCTTCTCCAACCTCGGTACTCGGCTTTCTTTATACATAGCTTCTTTAAATTTAAATTCTACATAACTTCTTTAAATTCGCCTAGGAGGAGGGCACAGTTCTTGAGGGGATAGTCTGCTGCGTTCTCCCCTTGACTGGTAGAGGAGTAAAGCCATCTTTCAATTTCCTCCAAACTCTATCTCCGTATTTTTTTTTAATTGGGATATAGCTGATTAACAATGTTGTGATAGTTTCAGGTGAACAGGAAAAGGACTCAGCCATGTAACCGTTCTCCCCCAAACTCCCCTCCTATCCAGGCTGCCAGATAACGTTGAGCAGAGGTCCATGTGCTATACAGTAGGTCCTTGCTGGTTATCCATTTTAAATATAACAGTGTGTACATCTCCATCCCAAACTCCCTAACTATCCCTTTCCCTCAACCCTTCCTGCTGGCAACCATGTTTGTTCTCTGAGTCTCTTTCTGTTTTGTAAATAAATTCATTTGTATACTTTCTTTACAGTTTGCACATATAAGGGATGTCACATGATATTTCTGCTTTTCCATCTGATTTCACTCAGTATGACAATCTGTAGGTCCATCAATGTTGCTGAAAATGACATAATTTCATAATTTTTAATGGCTGAGTATATATGTACCACATCTTCTTTATCCAGTCCTCTGTCAATGGACACTTAGGTTGCTTCCATGTCTTGGCTTTTAAACAGTGCTGCAACAAACACTGAGGTCAATGTATCCTTTTGGAGCATGTTCTTCTGTGTATTCAGCATCAGTGGACAAGGAGTCAGGAATTGGGTAACACCATGACAAGCTTTGCCACAGGAGTTGCTCTCGTCAGCTTGGAGACCGTATGAGGTCTGGATGAACCTTTCAACAGGCATCTCCTTCCAGATATCAGAACATGAGCAGTTTCTTTTCTTGGGCTGGTCAGATTCCCAAGAAGAATTTTCCTCCCTCCGTTTTGGATGTTGTAGGCTAGCTGCAGCATTCTCAGTTCCTGTCAACGAGGAAGACTGAGAGTCTCAGCCCTTGTATGGAGATTCTCATTCTAGTTTGAAGTTCCCGGTGCCTCCTGGCCCAGGGGCCCCCACCTCACCAAAACTAAACTTCCAGGAGTCCGCCAGAGGGGACTCCCTGGGGGCCTGCCTGCTTCCTAAATAGACTTCCAGCCAGCCCTCTTGCTGCCAGTCCATCTTACTGCCTACCTGCAGTAGCGCACACCACTCTGATGTCTAAGGCTCTGGGGGTCCTAAGGGCAAAGTTGCCTCTTTTTCCCTTTATCCACTGACACCTTAAGATTCAACTTTCTTGGGACTGCCAAGTAGAGCCCCATGTCCATGTGACTTCTGCCTTCTAAATTATGTTACTGTCATCTTCTCTCCCAGTCTCTTTGTTGTTATGGGTTTAAGCCTTTCTTTAGTCCTTTCCTGTTGTTTTAGTGGGATTTTGAGAAGGAACAGGTAAAAATAACTCTCTTTATTGGATTGATTTCTCTATTACTTGTAATCAAAAGATTCCCCTGTGTTCATGAGAATATACATTTGCTTATTGTAAAAGAAGCCCTCTTGACTTAAACAAGAGAGGTTTCTTTCTCTATTACTCAGCCATATAAGAGTCTCAGCTGGAGTGGTGGTTCAGCTCAGGGAGGCCCAGGCTCCTGCAGTCTTGTTGCTCTGCCTTCCTTAAAATGCTACTGTCATCTGCAGGTGGAGGGTGGTCACCCCCCTGACCACAGCAGAGCCCACGGGAAGAGGCCAAGGGGCAAGGCGGAGCCCCCCACTCCCCTTAAGGGCATGCCCAGAAAGTTGCATACATTTCCACTCACTTCCCACTGGCCAGACCCAGTCCTGTGAGCACTTCACTGCAAGAGGACTCAGAGTGCAGTCCTTGCCTGGGAATCATATACCAGCCAAAGATCAGGGCTCTGATTTTTTCCAGAAGGAAGCAGTAGTCCTCTGCCATGTTGATGAAGACAGGAAGCCATCCTAGCTAGATTCCCACAGTGGGAATTTGCCCTGCCTCCTCATGCCCTACTGAAACTGCACAACTCAGATGGGACTCAAATCCAGCCAAAACCCAGGTTTGGACTTGAATCCACTGTCTTTTAATTCAGATCACACACCTGGTCTCAGGACTTAAGGAAGCTCAGGTTCTTTATATTTCAGCACAGAAGGAATTCAGCAAGAGGCAAAGTGATAGGTAACAATGGATTTATTTAGAGAGATACACATTCTATAGACAGAACATGGGCTCTCTCAGAAGGCAAGAGGCTGTGAAATGTGGGGTGGTTAAAATTTTTTTTTAAAATTTTACTTATTTGTGACTGCTGGGTCTTCACTGCTGTTCTGGGGCTTTCTCTAGTTGCTGTGAGCAGGAGCTACGCTGCTTGCTGGGAACTGAGATCCTGTCAGGTTGCTGATGGCTCCTAGGAGAGAGCGGTCAGGGGTGTCGGGCTTGTGATAGGGTCACAGCCATATTGAAAACCCTTCAGCATTCCTCCAAAACCCTCCAGACAGAATTCAAGCTCCCCTTCCTCGATATGCCTACTATGGTCTGAATGTTTGTATCCCTCTGAGAAATGGAGCATTTCCTGCCATATCAATAAACAAGGATGTCACAGTCACCAGTGATTCCAGTCCTCCAGGGCAGCTAGGAAGGAGAAGGATGCCTGCTCTGTCTGGCAACATTAGGCTGCAGCCCCTCCCTACAGTGAGCACTGAGGAACTCAGGATGTGAAAAACACAGGATACTGGCCCCAGATAGCCGAGATGCATATGAAAGAAATGATTTCAGTGAGCCCAGACTCTAGCATCTTCCCATACATTGAAAAGCCCCATGCATAGAAAAGCACTAAATTTCTTAACCTGAGATATCTAGTTTCCTTTAATTCACAACAATACTTTTGATGTTCAGACTACCTGCCCTCTGTTACAAACCTTCTATATGACCTGACTCCTCCCCTCACCTTCTCCGGGCAGTTCTCTCGGGGTTACTTGAGATGCTGTCTCCTGGGCTTGAAGTCCTAAAAATTCCCACCAAATAAAACCCAATTCTCATCTTTTAGGCTGTGACTTTTTCAAGCTGGCAGTGTTCTTATAAAAGAGGTCATAGAGCACTCTTCTGCCCTTGCCATCATGTGAGGACCCAGGGAAAAGTCAGTCACCTAGGAACCTAAATCTGCTGTAGCCTAGATCTCTGATTTCCCAGCCTCTAGTACTATGAGAAATAAAATTTCTATTGTTTATAAGCTGCCCATTTTATAGTATTTTTGTTATAGCAGTCTGAAAGGACTAAGACGGTACTGTTCTGTGCCTTCCTTCTGGGCATGCCCACAGCCCTGGGCTGGCCTCTGGTGTCATCAGAAGCCAACATCAATGGACCACTGCCTGGTGGTCCATCCACCCAGCCAACTAGGAGTGCTGCCTCGGGAAGGCCAAATTCCCTAGCACCAAGCCCAGTGCCTCTCCTGCAGCACATGCTCAAAGATTTTGTAGAAAGGAGGACTGAATCAACCGCAAGTGAATTTTCTGGTGTTTTGGGATGGAACCCATCCTGCTGATAAGGAGTTTCTAAAAGGCCTCACACTGGGGTGAGAAGGGTAATTAGGGACCAAGGCACTGAAGTGGAAAGATCAGTGCAGCTGGGCTAAGTCACTTCAGTTGTAAATGACTCTTTGTAACCCTATGGACTGTAGCCTGCCAGGCTTCTCTGTCCATGGGATTTCCCAGCAAGAATACTGGAGTGGGTTGCCATTTCCTCCTCCGGGGGAAATCGTCCCAACCCAGGGTTTGAACCGCATCTCTTATATCTCCTGCATTGCCAGGCGAGTTCTTTGCCACTAGCGCCACGAGCTGGGAAATCAGGCCCCCCTGACAAACTAGGTTTCCTTTCCAACTATTGGGGGGAAAAAGCCAAGGCATTCGACTTTGACTTCGGAAGGAAGCAGTGACATCCTGAGACCCTAGCTTTCTGAGCCTGAGGCTGGCCACTTAGGAAACAGCCATGGGTAGGGTGCCTGCAAATGAATCTCCAGAGAGGAAGCTCCCTTCCATTCCATTCCTGACTTTGCATAGGCACTGTGCCCAACACCCACCCTACCTGAGACCTTTGAGTTTATTCAAATGAACACCCCATATAGAGAAGGGTAAATGCAGACCCAGAGTGGAGATGACTCCCCTGAGGTCACACACAGCCCTAAGCCAGGCAGGGGGAGCCTCCGGTCTTCACATTTAGACTCAGTCCAGCTCTGGGCACCCCAGCACCATGTCACTCTAAGAGTGGTAAGCCTTACCCCCACCTGACTTCAGGCCAGCAAGAAGGAAGGGACCCAGAGGCGTGGCAAAACTCGCTTTTTTTTTTTTCACAACTCGTTTTTATTTCTCATTTTCTTCTGGGGGTGCAGTGTTTGGCACTTGTCACCCCAGGACTGGGTCCCTCACTGCATCAGGCTGGCAGGCAGGGCCCCACCTGGCCCTCTTCTCTGCCGAGGGAGAGACAGGAAACTGTTACAGGCCCACCAGTTTGGACACGAGGGTGGACCCAGCGAAGCCCAGCAGGAGTTTGGATGACATGCAGAGTCCACTTGCTCCTGGGGGAGAAGCAGAGGGTGAGTAGAGTGGGGTGGGCAGGCTGGGGGGCGTCAGGCCCAGAGATCCCACCCAGAACCCTCTTCTGCTTCCCCAGCCCCCAGGGATCTCTGTTTGCGGGAGTGCTGCTGCAGGCAGGTATGCAAAGGCATGAACTCCGGTGATGAAATCAAGAGACAGGAGCTGCCTCCCTCTCCAGAGAAGAAAGCTGAGCCCCAGGTGGGACAGAGATGCCCCAGCTAACCCAGAAAATCTGCTTTGGGCAGAGTCAGCCTGATCCCAGCACAGCTACAGGCCACAGCATCTTCCCTCCTTTCTATATCTGCTTCAGAGAAACCCAGAGAGAGAGAGAGAGGGACCACGGAGGCAATACCAAGGGACAGGCAGACTGGGGCTCACTGGGGCTGAGGTCGGGCCAGAGGCGCTGAGGCTTTTGCCCTTCCCCCTCAGCCCTACGAGCAAGCCCTGCCCGGGACACTTACCCACAGACTGGAGGGTGGCCACCAGGCTGCCAGCGGCCACTCCGCCCCCGTTAGCAATGGCAGATATTGACATCATCTTGGCCGCTAGGGAGGAGGCGGTGATTCCTGCACTGGTGAAGCCCAACGCGCCCAGCACCACGGGCACAGCCGCCACGGTGGAAGCTGTACCGGGAGAGGACCTGGGGTGAGGGGGATGGATATCCCCCTCCAAACACACTCATGACATCAAGCTTGGGGGCTTTGGGAGGTCTGGAGAAGGTTAAGTCTGGGCTTGGGAGAGACTCCAGCATGGCCAGCAGTCAGGAGTCCAGGGAAGGCCCAGCTGATGGCGAAAGCGGAGGGAAGGGCTGTGGGGTCACCAGGGACACGGTGCTGGCTCTCAGCAGGACCTTCCTTGGGAAAGGCCTCAGTTTCTGCCTTAGTAAGATGCTGGAACTGGGGAGGGGGAGGGGGACATTTGCAAGCTTCCTGTCTTTGCTGCGGAAATGTTTAAGCAAATTTTACCGAGGGCCCAGCATAAAGCAAGGAACACATGCTGAGCCCCGCTTGAATCCCAGCTCTGGGCCTCCACAGCATCACTGCAGAGCCCTTGGCAGCCAGAGCCTCTGGGCTTCTCCTCAGTGCATCTCGTGTGTCCAAACCGTGCACACGTGTCACCCTACATAATCCTCATGGTAATCCTGAAAGAGCAGTCTTGGCCTGTTTTTCACGAGGAAAGCTGAGCTCAGAGGATTTCAAAGCCACATCCAAGGTCACATGGTGAAGGGTCTGCAAGAAACCTGGGCCCCTGTTGGGGCTGCCTCCACAAGAGTTTCCAAGGAAACTTCATTTCTCATTCCATCGCCTCCTCCCCCACCATGGACAGGAGGCCTGGGGCAGGCTGGGGAGGTACAAGGCCAGTTGCTTCCCAAGTCCCAGGGCTTGGCGACAGACAAGGGCGAGCTTGGCCCAGCAGAGACTCACCTCCGCCCACCACAGCTACAGCAGCCTTGGCTGGAAACCAAAAGAACATTCTGTGAGTGGACCTACACTGGCCACCACCTCTCCACTCCCTGAGCCCACAGTCAACCTATAGGGAGGGGGCTGCCCCAGCCTGGGAGACACAGGAAGGAAGGAGCCTGCCTGCTTCACCCAGAGAAGTGGGATTTCCTAAGAAGGGGCTCTCTGGGCCCTGATGTTAGTTCATCTGAAAAAGGGTCAGTATTTTATGAGTATGGAATGAAAATGTTAGTCACTCAACTGTGTCCGACTCTTTGCAACCCCATGGACTATAGCCTGCCAGGCTCCTCTGACCATGGAAATCTCCAGGCAAGAATACTGGAGTTGGTAGCCATTCCCTTCTCCAGGGAATTTTCTGACCCAGGGATTGAACCCAGTTCTCCTGCATTGCAAGCAGATTCTTTACCAACGGAACCACCAGGGAAGTCCGTGAGTGTGGAAGTCAGAGGTATCATACGACCTTCTCCTATCTATCATCCAGAGAAAGTTCTTCAGACAGCAGTAGATCCTCACATAGAGAGACATGTTTAATTTTGCAGGACTTCACTGAAATCTGGGGAAACATTGTTGAATGCTTGAGTGCTACCTGAGAACAGTGCTGGAACGCCTTGAATGCTCCTGATTCTTCAAGACCACACCTGTTGCCTCCTCCTCTGGAAGGCTGCCCCAGTCTCTCCCAATCGGAACCATCCTTGCTTCCCTGTGGCTGGAGCCATTCACAGCACAGGACCATGGTTCCCTGAAACTGAGAGTTCCTGGAACTCCCTGGCAGAGGTCTTAGTCTGTGGCAGCCATAGAAGCCAATACTGCAATCTTTGGGGCCAGTGGGGAGCAGGAGTTCTAAAAACAGCAAGGTGTGCGGGAGTGGGCTCAGCCAGCCTCCCAAGAAGAGAGTTTAGGGGTGGCAGTTAAGGAAGTAAAGAGGGTATGAAAATCAAACCCTAAGTGACCAGGAGGGCTTCCCTGGTGACTCAGTGGTAAGGAATCTGCCTGCCAATGCAGGAGATGTGGGTTTGATCCCTGGGTTGGGAAGATACCTTGGAGAAGGAAATGGCAACCCACTTCCATATTCTTGCCTGGAAAATCCCATGGACAGAGGAGCTTGGTGGGCTCCAGGCCATGGGGTTGCAAAAGAGTCGGTTGTGACTGAGCGATTAAATAACAACAAAGTGACCAGTGAGCCACCTGGCTGGTGTACGGAACTGGAGACTCAAGAATTAAGAGCCGATTAGAGTGTTTGAGGCTCAGTGTTACTGTTTGGGAAGAGAAAGCATGACAAGCTGGCCGGCAGCCTGGTGTGCCTGGGCCCCGAAGCACAGACAGTCCAGGGGAGAAGGTGCTGTGTCTCTGACGGCCTGTCTGCTGGGCTCACCCAGTGGTCACCCTCGGGGAGAGGGGCCTGGCCCTTCTGGGCTTTTCAGAACCTACCCTGCCCCGAGGCTTCCTCGAGGCCTGGGCCCCTGCATTTCTGTTCTACTTCCTGTCCCAGGCTCGGATGCAGCCATTCACCCCACCTCCCAACCCAGGGCCCTCGGACAACGGTTCCTTCACTTATAAATAAGAGGCCATATCATCTTCCTCTGGGATTGTTATGAGAATTAAATGAATTGCCAAATGTCAAGTGCTAAGCTTAGGATATCACACAGCATTTGGTAAAATGTAGCTGTTCTGATTATTTCATCTTATGAATTGCTTCTCATTCGCTGAGTTCTCTTATTTCTGATCATGAAGAAGGATTACCAGTTGTGGCCAAGGTCCTAACTTTCTTGTCCCACTCCTGTGCTGAATGGAAGTCCAAGGAGCGTTATGTATCACCTGGGGCTAGTTACCTCCTACTGGCAAAGTGCTCAGGGTCACAGCAGAGGATCCGAGCAGGAAGGAGCCTTTTAGTGTCCCCACCAAAGATCCCAGGGTAGACGTGGCCCCCGCCAGGGCAGCACTGGATGGCAGAGTGAGCCCTGAGAAAGAACAGAGGGTGAATGCACAGGAGTCGGAGGTCAGAGGTCAGGCAGCCCTGGCCCACCCCCACTTCCATCTTGTACTATTTGCATTGGCAGAGGTGGAGCGATCCCCGGGGATCCACCCCAGGGCACAGAAAGGTGAATGATGGTGGCTGCACATGGGAGCACTTTGTGTAGCAATTGGAAGCAAGGGATACAGGCTCACCTATCAACCCTGATGGATCTCAAAAACAAAGTTCTCAGGGCAGGGTGGGGGCAATAGCAACAAAACGAGATATTCCACACACTCTTCTATACGTAAATTAAAATGCGTGCAAACAAAAAAAACACCTGTTTTGCAAAATTGTAGATGAAAAACAGACGCACGTTCAACATATTAGAAAGTTGACTTGGGGAGAGGGAATTGCAGGCAAAAGCCAAGATATAAAGTGAGACTAATTAAATAAAATTAAAGATGGGGCTTGCAAGAAGGAATGGACCTGAATTGAAGAATTGTGTTCAAAATTCAGAATTGTGCTCTGGATTTGAAATCTAGCAGGACAAACTTACAAAAGGCTGGCTGGTCACTTGGGCAAAAACATAAAGGAGTTGAATTCTAGGGGTGTATCCCCGGGGAAATGAGAGCCAGAGAATGGGTCCCAGCCACAGGGTCCCTTAGTCCAGACGGGAGAGTCAAGGGACCCAGATTCCCTGTACAACCTCTCCACTTCCCGCATGTCCCCCGTGTCAGAGTCCTGCCTCCCTCTGACCCTTCTCAGAGAGAAAGCCAGGGCATATACCCAAGGGGAAGGACAGGGAGGGAGACGGGCTGAGGGTGATGCCACTCTCCCCACCCAAGCCTCCTAGGGCAGGACCCTGTGCACTCCCTGGCGCCCCCACACCCGGCCCCCCACCAGCCCCTACCAGGAACACTCACCCAGGGAAGGAAGTCCTGCCAAGATGCTGCTGGAGGCCGCCCCACCCACTTTGGCCAGGCTCCCTGCAGACAGTATCTTAGAAGCCAGGTTAGAGGCTAAGAGGGCAACCTTGGTGAATTCCATGGCACCAAAACTGACCAGCACCAAACCTGCCGAAAGAGTGGAGCCTGGATGGGGGATAGGGACACCAGAAGTGGGGACAGACCCACCGCCCTGAAAAATCTCAAGGGGCTCCAGTGGGTAGGGAGGCTGCTCTGAGCTTGTGGAGAACGCGGGCTTGGGAAGGGCCCAAAGATACGGTGTTGGGGTGACAGAGTGAGGAGAAGGCAGGTGGGGAAGGGGGAAGGAGATTTTACTTCCTGAGGTGGTCTGCTTCCCTCTTCCCAAAACTCACGTTTCTAGAACGCCCTTAAACCTCCATGGAGCCATTTAAAAGGTGCCAGAATTAGGAAATCAGAACCAATCATGTTTTTAAGGCATGTGCCATGGGTCAAGTTGGTCGGGTTCTTGTTCTCATGCCCTCTCCTCACTAACTCAACGAGAAGAATGAGATTATCATCCCCATTTTATGATCAAAAAACCCTGGCACAGGGGCGGTAAGTGACTCATCCAAGGTCACAGAGCTTTCCTTGGCAAAGTGCACGGCAACTGATACAGCTCTGCTGCTGCCAAGCCGCTTCAGTCGTGTCCGACTCTGTGCGACCCCATAGATGGCAGCCCAGCAGGCTCCCCCGTCCCTGGGATTCTCCAGGCAAGAACACTGGAGTGGGTTGCCATTTCCTTCTCCAATGCGTGAAAGGGAGGTCGCTCAGCCGTGTCCGACTCTTAGCGACCCCATGGACTGCAGCCTACCAGGCTCCTCCGTCCATGGGATTTTCCAGGCAAGATACCGGAGTGGGTGCCATTTCCTTCTCCAGATACAGGTCTAGGGGCTTCCAAAGCATGGGCTTGGAGTGGCTCTGATTTGCTTCCTCCTACTGTTTGTCTCTTCACCTGCCCATCTCGCCCCCACCCGGCCTCAAGACTTGAGGGTCACTCGGGCACGGATGAGGCTCACTGCTCCCAGAGTCTGAGAGCCCAGGGATGGGTGGAGGTTTAAGTCCCTTCCCTCTGGAGACCCAGCTTCTCTGACTGCAGCCGCCCAGATGAGAAACATGAGACAGTTCTCCCGGTGGATCCACAGGGGTCCCCCTACAGTCACTGAGCCCAGCAGCGCCCCGAGGGTGGGGGCCACAGGAGGGAGCAGCCCCTGCCCACCCCGCCCTGTCTTACCCGGTGGAGCAGACTTTCTGAAGACGTGGACCTGCCCTGGTTATCCCGAGCGTGGCTGTGTTCAGGGAAGATCTGAAGCAGGCTGTTTACAGCAGCTCGGCAGAGGGAGGAACAGCTCCCTAGACAGCAGCCAATGAGATAGCTTTCATTTTCTCGGGATAACGAAACTCACACTCAGTTTTCTCCTCTCTTGGTAAGCCCATAGAACCATTTAGCTGCTTCCCAGACACCCCTCCCCCATGTCCTCTGCTTTAGCTCTTCTCCGAAGTTCGAAGTTCATTCGGAGATAATAGTAGCTGATGCTAATTTCCTGAATTTTTCAAATGCTAAAACCACCACCAAATGGAAGAAATTAACCACTGGATGATCCTGAGCTCGTAGCCCCTAGACTTACTGGTGCCTAAGGGTTGATCCCCGTCAGTGAATCAGAGAATTGTGCAGGAGCTGATCATATACCCTGGCCACCCCTCCCTCACCTGGCCTTTAAAAATACTTTACTGAACCGTTCAGGGAGTTTAAGTTTTGGGGGGCACAAGCCACTCACTCTCCTTGAGCTGCCCTGCCATATACCTTTCTCTGCTTCAAACTCCAAAGTTTGGGTTTGTTTGGCCTCTCTCTGCCTGGGGCACCTGAACTTGCTTTTCAGAATACCTTCCCCAGAGGACCAACTGTTATTACAGAGATCAACTTTCTAGCCACTTCCTGCTCTCAAGGTCTTACCAAGTGCCATTTAATTTCTCTGCTGCCTTTACTGCAAATAGTTAAAAGAGTTGTAGACGATTGCTCTCCTCTTTTTCACCTTACTCTTAAAATTTAAATATATAATATGTAATATTATAGAACATGAAATATTTTCAGGCATCCAAAAAGCTATAGATAATAAAAACAAACACTTCTTCACCCACCCCTGAGCTCAGGACTTCCAATGTTACAGATACCATTTACGTGACCTGAGAATCCCTTCTCATGTTCCTCCTTTCTCTGCCTTCTCACAGATAGTCACCCTTGAGAATTTAGGGTTGATTAGTCCCAGGCAAGGGACTTCCCAGGTGGCACCAGTGGTAAAGAATTCGACTGTCAATGCAAGAGATGCAAGACACACAGGTTTCATTCCTGAGTTGGGAAGATCCCCTGGAGGAGGAAATGGCAACCTGCTCTAGCCTGGAAGATTCCATGGACAGAGGAGCCCGGGGGGCTACAGTCCATGGGGTCAAAGAGTCAGACACTGAGCACACACGCACGGATTCCCAGGCATGGATTTATATTTTCAAAACATATAAATATTAAATGCGTACTTTTCTTGGAATTGATTGAGAGTTCATTGCTGTTTCAACTGGGGTTCAAAGACAGGGAAAGTGTCAACCACGTGCCAAGAAACTTGACCTTGTAACCTCTGCTGCAACACTATGCTAAGAAACCAGAAAACTAGTTTTCAAAGTAGAATAATCAGTTAGGGAGTTGAGATTGGAGAGGAAAGGGAGGAGAAAGAGAGAACTAGAGAGGCTTGGGGGCCAGCGCTTTCCTCCAAGTCCCAAGGATGACAGGAGAGCAAGCGGTTCCCCGGCTGGACCTCAGGGGGACTCTCCCTTGGAAAGCTTGACAGGAATCCCTTGGAATTTGAGGGAAGCAACGACACGTGTCTCTCTTGGGTCTACAAAGGTTAAAGGCGGGAAACTGGTGCGCAGGCCTTCCTGAGAAAGGAAGGGGACTATTCTGAGGGTGGGTGGTGGGGGAGCTGCCCCCTTAGAGCTCCTTACAATTTCCGGTGGACCAAATGTGGAACCAGGCAGGCCGAGCTGGAAGAGAACTATCATCAGCACTGCCCGGAGGTGGAGGGGAGCCCAGGGTGGGTGCGCTGCAGGAGGAAAGTGGTGGAGAGCAGAGGCGGAGCTATCCAGCCCGGGGAAGCTTCCCCTTGTCAAGGACCTTGTGGGTAAGCGAACCCAGCTGACAGCAGGGTCCAAGAGCCGACAAAGAGCTGGGAGTTTGAATGTCTCCCACCAGAGGGCGCCAAAGACAGACCGACACAGCATCAGCAGCGTGCTCCTACAAAGGGACACTTATTCTGGGCCAAGCACTGTGATCTCAGGTATTAAGCATTTTAATCCTCCCAACCACCCCATGAAGAGACACAGCTGCTGCTGCTGCTGCTAAGTCGCTTCAGTCGTGTCCGACTCTGTGCGACCCCACAGGAGACAGCCCGCCAGGCTCCGCCGTCACTGGGATTCTCCAGGCAAGAACACTGGAGTGGGTTGCCATTTCCTTCTCCAATGCATGAAAATGAAAAGTGAAAGTGAAGTCGCTCAGTCGTGTCCGACTCTCAGCGACCCCATGGACCGCAGCCTACCAGGCTCCTCTGTCCATGGGATTTTCCAGGCAAGAGTGCTGGAGTGGGGTGCCATTGCCCTCTCCATGAAGAGATACTACTGTCCCCATTTCACAGATGAGCTGATGAGTCTTTACTGACTTTGCATGGGGCCCTCTCATTTTGTTCTTTACCTGAGTTCTCTGGATCCTTTTGCTTTCCCTGCCTCCTGCCCCTGCTGCATCCATTTCTTTCCAGGTCTCCACACCTAGGTGAGCACCTGCTTGGCTGAGTCTTCTGAAGACGTCTCGTGCCCCATCACCTCTCCAAGCCTCTGTGTGACCCTCAGGAACATGGTTTCCTCAAACAGCTGAACTCCAACAGTCCAGTCTCTCCTCCACTGTCCACTCACTGTGGATGATCAGCCCTGGATGGACCCAACAGTCACAGGTCTCAAAGGTCCTTATACTGCCTACCCCAGGGGCTCCAAGAACAGGGCCAGAAAAGGCTTAGGCGTGCTCCACAAGGACGGAGGTCTCTGTCTCGTTAAGCATGTGTCACAGCACTCAGCACGAGTGGGCACTCAGCACATATTGGTTGAAGGAATTCCTTTTAAAGCATCTTTTCCAATGAATCCCAAGCCCTCCCATAGACAGACTAGATATGGGTACTAAGGGCTGATAGTCACAGAATTGTTAGCCCAAAGGGGCAGGGCCAGCAGCTCTCTCAGAAATGGGGGTCCCTGCCTCCCACTGTTTTCAGCTTTGACGTTTCCGTTGAGATTCTTCCAAAGTAGGAAAGTTTTTTTTTTTAAAGATCCAGCTACACAAGTATTAGTAAAATAGATAAAGGCTAAATATTATATGGTATATGATTATCATGGAATGCCAAGCAGTAGCTAAAAATAATAGGAAAGACCTATAGAACAGGAAAAGGCCAGCTACACAACAATATGTGTGAGTCAAAACAAAACTCTATCAATAAAAAAGCATATAAGAGGATTACATTAAATGTTTTCTCTGAAGTTATCTATCTCTATAGCTCTGTTTCACATCCATCTACTTATCTATGTATCCTCCATCAAAAGAAGTTGCTTTATATTTACTTAAAAAAAATTTTTTTTTGGCCACACCTTGCTGCAAGCAGGATCTATCTGTTCCTTAACCGGGGAATGAACCTGCTCCCTCTGCAGTGGAAGCAGGGAGAATTAACCCTTGGAACACCTGGGAAGTCCCAGAAGTCACTTTAAAAGGACATTGAAAGTACTTATCAATTGCAGCAGCACTTATTTCTGGAAACAGGAGTCAGGAACAGCAATAATTCTAGAGGATCGTTGTGGGATCCAAATCAACTTTAGCCTAGTCTGAAGTCATTTAGATTGTTAAGAGCAGAATGCATTTATTAATGAACAATATTTCTCAGGTGTGAAGTTATTATTAGAAGGAACTTATTACTAGGTGAATTTTTATTAGGTTATTTTTAATAGACCTTATTTCCTAGGGGAGTTTTAGGTTCTGAATAAAACTGAGGTTCCTAACAGAGGTTTCTCCTATATCCCCTGCCCCCGGCCACCTGCACAGCCTCCCCTGTTATCAACATGCTGCAACTTTGATAATTCACTTGTAGCAAAATGTCAGTTTTCATTAGCAGGTAATGCAACCCCATTTCGTAAAATTAAAAGTAAAAAGACAAGGGGGTGTTGGGAGGCATTGGGACGTTGAGATTGACACATATACACTATTGATGTTACAGGTAAGAATAAAATCTTGTATCTGTTGTATCTGTTTCTTTAACTTTTGCTTCCCGTTGCTTCTGTTCACTGAAAGGATAGTGTCCATACTTAATGTCCTGCCTCGGGGAACCCTGCTCTTCTGCCTGAACGTAAAACCTAAGCACCTTTAGTCTGGAAGAGAACATGACCCTGTCCACCTGTGAATGAATAGCTGCAAGAAAGAAGAAATTAACATGTCCCCTCCCTAAAACTGATCATTCCAGGAGATATTTGCAAGATTAATGGCCTTTTTATTTTACACCCTCACCTTGCCCCCCTCCTCTATGTTCTGTAAAAGAAACTGGCATCCAGACCCATTTGATGATTATTTTGAGACATTAGTCTGCCATTTTCTCAGTCTGCTAGCTTTCAGAATAAAGTTGTATTCCTTGCCTCCACACCTCATCTCCAATTTATTGACCTGTCTGGGTAAGCAAAGCAAGCTCGGACTCGGTAACACTGATACTATGTATAAAATAGATAACTAATGGAAACCGACTGTATAGCACAGCGAACTCTCCTTAATGCTCTGTGGTGGCCTAAACGGGAAGGAAGTCCAAAAGGAAGGAGATTTATGTATATTTATGGCTGAAACGATCACCGACTCAATGGACATGAGTTTGAGCAGGCTCCCGGAGTTGGTGATGGACGGGGAAGCCTGGCGTGCTGCAGTTGATGGGGTTGCAAAGAGTTGGACATGACTGAGCCACTGAACTGAGAAACTAACTCAACATTATAAAACAACTGCACTCCAATAAAGATTGATTAAAAATAAAAATAAACATAAGCATAAAAAGACAGAATTCTGCTGATGGTCTACCTTCCAATTCATAACGCTCTTCCCTATTCACTGAAGAGGCAGGGAGTATTTAAGAAGGCAGAGAAAGACACAGAAGCCTGGTTAGGAGGGTGATCCAGTTCTCCCACAAGGACCAGCCCTTAACAGAGGACAGACCTCGTCTTGTCTGTAAGGCACAGTCACTGTCTTTGGCCAATGTCCTGTGTCCCTGTCCTCTTTGAAACAGGAACTTACTTCTCTTTCAGGTACTGGAGTCCCTGCTCTGACCCTGGTCTTGTCAGAGGCCTGAGCGCTCCTGCCAGCCTCCAAACGTGATCCCAGAGTGAGTGAAACCGATCATCACCATAGCCCATCCTTTGGGCTAAAGTAACCGGTTTAGGAATAAAGAGATGACTCCGTTTAGGATACTTACAGGAACATTTACCGGAGATATTTGGGAAGGAAGTCTCCTTACTTATCAGCAGAAGGTTCATGAAAAAATACCTTTTGGGGAGAGACCAGAATAAAGAAGCAGATAACCTCCAGAGCATGCAAACAGGCCTCTACTAAAGCAGGAGCATGGCAGTCAAAGGATGGAGCTGATACCTCGGAAAGCGGATGTGACCCAGCAGGACTCCATGGGGCCTCCCTGGGACAGACCCCAGCCCCGTGGCTTTTCCTGTAGCTCCTCTCTGAGTGCTTCCCTGGTGCCTCAGCGGTGAATAATCCACCTCCCAATGCAGGAGACGCTGGTTCGACCCCTGAGTCGAGAAGATCCCCTGAAGAAGGAAATGGCAACCCCCTCCAGTATTCTTGCCTGGGAAATCCCATGGACAGAGGAGCCTGGTGGGCTACAGTCCATCCAAAGAATTGGACATGGTTTAGAGACCAAATAACAACAAAAGTTCCTCTCTGAAGTACACAATAGTATCTCATGCATATTTCCTGAGGTTTTCAGCTGCTAAAATCCACCACCAAATGGAAGAGGTTAACTACTTGATGACCATGAGCATGTAGCCCATAGACCTACTGGCACCTAAAGATTGATAATGTTAACTGGCCTATTACCACTCCATAAACCAATCAGAGAACTGTACAAGAGCTGATCACATGCTCAGGGATGCCTTCCCTCACTTGGCTTTTAAAACTGCTTTGCTGAAACCCTATGGGGAGTTTGGGGGTTTTTTGGGCATGAGCCACCCATTCCCCTTGCATGGCCCTGCCATAATCCCCAAACTCCATTTTGGTTTGTTTAAGCTCATTGTGCCTTCGGCACACAATCTTGCATTGGGTAACAGAGAGGAGGGATAGGAAACAACAGCCTCTTGGATTCAGAGTTGAGCTGCTAAATCACACTTTGCCTGAAGCCAAATGACCTTTTTATTGTTCAGTTCAGCAAGCCAGTAAAGTCTCTTGAACTCTGAGCCAGTTATAACCAAGATTCTATTACTTATAACTACACAAGCCTTAAATAAACTAACGCCTACTCCAAGCAGTCTTCCTAGATAACTACAATTACAATTAATGTCTGCCTTCTCTGTTTTCCATGTCATAAAGCTTGAATCTCTCAATGGATTACACACATTGTTTCATGTTATTGGTTAGTTATTGGTGGGTAATAAATGCCCCCACCCTCAAATACTTATTTAGCTCATGATTCACTGAGCCAAATAGTAGTTTAAGCATGTGGTTTTCCTGGTCTCAACTGGGCTCCCTCCTACACCTGCAGTCAGCAGTGGGCTGGCTTTGTGGACCTTAGCTGGACTCATTCCTTGTCTGGAAAAAAAGGGCTGACTCCTCCATTAGGTCTCTGTGTTGGCTTTCCTCCAGGCCAGCCCAGGTTCAGGGAGGGATAATAAATTCCAGCTCTCAGTGAGATGAGCTATACAGGTACACTGAAAGGTCACTGAAAGGTCACTGAAACACGGTCATTTCTGTCATTGACCACAGGTCCCTTAATGCCATTATATCTGTGCTTTCCTCAGACTGCCCATCAACACTGCACCTGTATGGAGTCTAAGCTCATATTACTTGCCACATGACGGGTCAATAAATTGAGAGACAGGTTGTTGGGGCAATGAAAAGAGACTTTATTCAGAACCAACAGACTGAGAAGATGGCAGTCAAGTGTCCCCCCAAAATCATCTTCCCCGAGTTAGAATTCAGGCTTCTTTTATTCTAAAAGGAGAGGCGATGTGGCTGATAGTTGCAATCTTCTTGGTACCTTTGTTCTTGGTACTATTCCCATAGGTCTGGTCACAATGTTCCTATAAACCTCCAACTAAATGAATGTTATTCTCTGTTCTGCAGCTTTTAAAAGAAGTGTTCTACCATTAAGAGTCAGAGCCTGGAGAATGGGCTGTTCTGTGTTATTTCAGGCTACAGGAAACATTCTTTTACAAAGGTGCAAGTCAGCATGACTAAGCACAGGCAACAGAGTACAGAAGTTAGAGCTAAAGAAATAGACCCAATGTGGAGTCAGGTTTGTTCAATGTTACACACACTGGGCAGAGAGGGATCCTGCAAATCTACTGCAGCCATAGGATACTGGGATGGAGCCCTTGAGGCCAGCTAGAAGCTGCAGGAGTGAGCTGAGGCAGCATCGTAAGGAGACAGCCAGGTGGAGAAGGAGCAGGAGGGAAGACAGGTGTGAAGGCCGGAGTGGGGACTTGGGCTGGAGTCCTGGAGCCAACAGGTTGGGATCAGAGACTCATGTTTAAGTGGAAGCAGGTCTTCCAGAACCTATTGTCGGTTATCCACATGGGCAGGGAGGTTGCAGGTGCCAAGTTAACACACATGGAGCCTGGCGCTGGATCCAGGGCCAGGTACCCAGTGGGTCTTAGGAAGTGAGTGTTCTGCATTGACCAGCCTCTTGGGAGCCCCATGGTGGGGAGACCTGTCTGTCCTTGCAGGTTCTGGGCGGTTTCACTTGGGGCCAGTGAACTGAGCTCTAGACAACAGAGACAGCTCTCTGGAGAAATGCAGATTCTCTTCCCACCTGAAGCGCTCCAAAGGCCACCAGGCCAGGCAGACAGTGTTATTGATGAGTCATGAAACAGCCAGACCCAGAGTCTTAGGTGGGGAGGGGAGAGGATCAGTACTGCCTGAGGATAAAGTGCTTGGTAACTGAGGGTCAGTAGCTCAAACTGACCCCAGGGCCAAGCCGTTAGCTCCTCGGGCTGAGGTCTTTGAAGACATGTGGCCCAAGTTCCCATCTGAAGAGCAACAAACTGAGGCTCAAAGAGGAGACAATCTTCGCAGGGTCAAAACTGAGTGGCAGGACTGGGAACAGGCACGGCTTCCTGTTCTGGATTGGTGCTCATTCTTACAGAGTTTCTGCCTTACACCCAACACCTACAGGGCTCTGTAGGTGCCCTGCACCCTGCCTGGTGAACAAGAACACAGCACAGACACTTATTGAAGGTCACTACATCTCAACTTTATTTCTTATGATTCTTTGAAGAATTTGGGGAGGCAGGGGACTTGTCATTTGGGAGACTGACATCCTGATGCCCTGGAGGGTCACCTCCAGAATGGGAGCCCCTTTCTGTTTCAGTACTGGGTCCTCCTGGAGGAGCTGGAGGAATTCCACAGCAAGGCCCCCAGTAGTGCCCCAGCCGATCCCAGGAGGATGTTGGATGGTGTGGAGAGTCCAGTTGCCCCTGGGGGAGAGGAGAAGGTTAGAGCACAAGAGGACGGGCAGGCCGAGCAGTCCCCGCAAGACTGTGGGTGTCAGAGACCCCAGGACTGACTGGGGGCCCTAGACCCCGACCTCCCACCCCTATTTCCTCCTCTACTTCTGAGACCCCAGGATGTCTGCGGGGGGAGGGGCGGCTGCACATGGCTGCCCAAAGAGCAGACATGAACTCTGATGGTCAGTCCATCAGCGACAGGACAGACCCCCTGAGAAATGACAGGCTGCCCCTCCCTCCACTGCACTCAGCTGGGCCCAGGGAGGAGTGGGCACCTAACCAGGTTTTGTAGGGTTGATGAGGAAGGCAGGCCTCCTGAGCGATACACCCCTCATCCCGCCACCCCACACCCAACCAGAAGAGGGAAGAGTGACCAGGTCACAAAGGACCAGGGGGACACTGATGACCATGAAGCTGGAAGAAGCCTATTTGCTTCTTTGGCATCTGGATCAATCTTGCGCTGATTTGTTACCCCTCGCCCGCTTCCTCCTGGGGAGACATTTACCCTTGGACTGGAGATTGGAGACCAGGCTGCCAGAGGGAACTCTGCCCTCATTGGCTCTGGCAGTTGATGACATCATATTGGCCGCGAAGGAGGAGCGGGAGATTCCTGTTCTGGTGAAGCCCATGGTGTCCAGCAACTCAGGCACAGCCCTCACGGCCATGACTGTAAGGGCAGAGACACTTCATGGCTAGCTGCGGGGGACAGGCTCCCCAGACCTCCCTGACACCTTCCTGGGGGGTTGAGGTGAAGCGTTCTCTTCAGACTCGCCTCAGACCACAGGGCCAGAGGCCAGGGAAGGCTGTAGGTATGGACACAACTGGATGGACGCCCACCCTGACACCCCATCCTCCTCCAAGAACCTGGAACCCAGGCCTACTCATGACTCTGCTTGCCTGTGACCCTGGAAGCTTCAGCAGTCCTCCCTGGGCTTTAGTTCGCCCTTTATGAAATAAAGTTGAAACAAACAGGGGTCTTCAAATGCCCCCTTTTGGTGGGAAACTGGTGTCTTTCATGCAAGCTCAGGCCCACAGTATGAGGACAGAACTGCTCTTCTGCTGGGTGGAAACTTCTGACCTCTGCCCCGAGGCCACCGGTGAGCATTCCCCCAGGGGCCCTACAGCTCCAGACAGTGCAGGCATAGAACCTTCTGCAACCAGGAACCTTCTGTGTCTGCACCGTCCACACAGTGGACACATGTGGCCACTGAGCACTTGAGACTGTGGCTGGTATGACAGAAATGTTTCATTTTCTTTAATTTTGGCCACCGTGTGGGAGGACCCTGGCCAGAGGCCCAGCAGGAAACCGCTAGGCTCGCTGGATGACTAGAGGGTTGTAGGCAGAGCAGTTCTGAGGAATCTACACAACTCAGCTCACACATTCTTTACAGTCATTTGGAAGGGCCCCTGGCACTGATTTCTGGGGAGGAATCATGGGTTCAGACAGATCTACCAACTTGCCTGGATCCCACAGTTTGCACCTGGGAGAAGCTGAGATTGGAAGTGGGTGTTATGAATGGGTTTCCTTCAGTTCCTTCTTAGCTAGGCTCTTGTTACCTCAAGAATTCTACCTCTGTTCCCTGTCCACCCCACCCCTACCCACCCAGGTCTTGGGGCTGAAGGCAATCTTGGACTTGGTCAAGGACGGGTGCTCCCAGGAGCCCAGGGACAGGGGCAGAGGGGGCCTTGAGCTTCTCCCCAAAGAGACTTACCTCCTCCAATCACAGCAGCTGCAGTCATGCCTGGAGACAGAAAGAATCCCTGTGAGTGCCCAGCACTGGCCTTCCCCCTGCGTCTCTGCTGCTGTCCCAGTGGGAAGGGTTCCCTGGAGTTGGTTGGGGTCACAGGAGACAGCAGCCCTGGGTGGCTCTCTCTGCTTTTACAGAGAAGTCTGATTTTGCAGGAATCAGAGGAGGATGGACAAAAGCCCAGAGCTCTGTGATGCTCCAGATAGGGAGAGGAACCTGCCTTGAAAAGGTTTCATGCTGCTGTTTGAACTTAACACATTTTGGTATCATTTAAAAAAAAAAATCAAGAAAAGCATGCTACTTTTTTGCAATGGAATAAATTTGACTGTTCTGTCTGTTCATCTTCCAGACACCCTATGCCCATCCCAGGCTACAGCTGGAGTGGAAGCCCCCCATCCTCCAGGGCTCAGCCTACTTGCGACTTTCTGCAGGAAGCACCCCTTATTCCCCCATTAAAATGCACCATGCTTCCTCTGCATGTTCTGCCTTGTGGCTGGAGCCCCTGACCACACTCGACAGAGCATGCCTGTACCACATTGAGTTGCTCAGAGCACTTGGGTCTGGCAGGGACTAGGGATTTTGGACAGCTGGGACAGTTCCAGAGATTTCAGGATCTGTAAGAGTGAGCTCAGATAGCTCCCCATGAAAAAGAGTCTTGGTCCCAGGCAAGGGAGAGAAGTTGCAAAAGCAGTCTCCATCCCTCAGTCATTTCTGAAAGGTTATAGCTCCTGGCTCACCAGCATCTCTCTCCATCAGGACCCCTGACCTGTCTTGAGGGTTTCCGTTTCTGCACAGACAATGTTTTCAACAAACCGATCTTACAGTTCTCACCTCCTCACTTCCAAGGATCTTGGCTCCTATGCCACACACCCCAGGTCATACCCTAGGCCAGGGGTTCCCAACCCCAATACTGGTCCCTGACCTGTTAGGAGCCCAGTCACACAGCAGGGGTTGAGCGGCAGGTGAGCCACCGAAGCTTCATCTGTATTTACAGCTGCTCCCCCTAGCTCGTATTAACACTTGAGCTCCACCTCCTGTCAGATCAGCGGCAGCATTAGATTCTCACAGGAGCTTGAACTCTTCTGTGAACTGTGCTTGTGATGTTGCCTACTCCTTATGAGAGTCTAATGCCTGATGCTCTGAGTTGCAGCTGAGGTGGTGATGGTAGAGCTGGGGAGCGCCTGCAAATACAGATGATCACTAACAGAAAGGTTTGACTGTACAGGGACCATAATAAATGAATAGCTTGCAGACTCATATCAAAACCCTACTAGTGAGTGGCAAGTGACAATTAAGCTGCATCTGGTGGCAGGCTTTAAGTCAGAATCCGACACTTACTTTAGTCCCCACATGTCCCACTCACTATTTTATTTACCACTTCCATCCTTGCCTCTTTCCTGCACTGTGCACTTGTCTTAGTCATGGTTTTGGTAAGCCCACAAGCTAACCCTTGACAAAATAAGTAAAAAAATAAAATAAAAAGCAAACATTGCTGAAGGGTTTCTTTGAAAATGGAGAAAGACCCAATGATGGGACTGAAAAAGACTCTAAGATGGCCAATGAAGAGAAAGCTACATTTAAAAGAAAATACCAAGAGTGCTACTTAAAGTACAAGCTCATTGCAGCAGGTGATTCACATTCTCCAAGCCTGCTTTGTATAATACGTGGCGACCAGCTACTCAATGAAGTTTTGAAACCTTTAAAACTGCTTTGCCACATGGAGACCAAGCACCCTGCATTAAAAGACAAGGCTTTGGGGTTTTTCAAAATAAAAAAAAAATGTGAACATGAAGAACAGAAGCAATTATCGAATGCCTTCACTTTATCAAATGTATGTGCACTGAGAACATCATTCTTAGTGGTTAACCACATTGCTAAATCTAAGAAACTGTTTACTATTGGTGAAGAGTTGATCCTGCCTGTTGCTAAGGTCATTTGTCATGAACTTTTAGGAGATGCTGAAGTTCAATATCTGGCATGTGCTCCTCTTTCTGCTAGCACCACAACTAGATGAACTGATGAAACAGCAGACATATTGAGGCCAATTGTTAGAAAGGATTAATGAGTCATTGTGGTATGCAATCCAGGTTGGTGAATCTACCAATGTTGACCACAAGGCAACTTTACTTGTGTTTGTGCAATATATTTTTCAGGAGGATGTGCAGGAGGATGTGTTATGTGTACTTTTCTTGCCAACCAACACCACAGCTGCAAAACTATTCAAGTCTCTGAATGACCACATATCAGGAAACCTGAAATGGTCACTTTGTGTTGGTACATGCACAGATGGAGTGGCTGCCATGACTGGATGGTATTCTGGTTTTCACTATACTGGTCAAAGTGGTCACCTCTGAATGTGAGTCTACACACTGTCATCCATGGACAAATGCTGGCCAGCTGAAAAATGTCACCTGAACTTAACGTTTTACAGGAAGTGATGAAAAGTATCAACCACATTAAAGTACGTGCCCTTAACGCACGTCTGTTCATGCAGCTCTGTGAGGAAATGGGTGCAGAGCACAAACGTCTTCTCTTATACACAGAAATGAGACAGCTCTCTAAAGGTAGATCACTGGCCAGCAGTTTTCAGTTGTGAGCGCTGCTTCCAGGGATTTCTTTTAGAAAAACAGTCACCACTGGCAGCATATTTCATATTTCAGAAGGTGTCAAAAAACATCCTTACTTGTGTGACATATTCAACTTGCTCAATGAACTCAGTCTGACACTTCAGGGGAGAATGACAACTGTTCAAGTCACCAGGTAAAGTGGCTGCATTTAGAGCCAAACTGGAATTATGCAGGCGATGAATGAACACTGGGAATTTTGACATGTTTCAAATATTAGCAGAGATTTGGAAAGAGACTCAATCAGGGTCATCTTTCTTCCAACTGGTGCATGATCCACTTATTTCAGCTTTCAAAAGAGTTTGAGCATTACTTCTCAACTGCAAAAGATCCCTAAACTGGGAAGGAATGGATCCCTGACCCATTTGTTAATAAGCCAGGTGAATTGACTTTGTGCCTGCTGGAAGAGGATCAACTGCTTGAGATCACAAATAACAGTGGCCTTGAATGTATGTGTGAGATGACTTCAAATCTCCATATGTTATAGATTAAAATCAAGGCAGAATAGCTTGAGATTGCCACAAAAGCACTGAAAAGCCTGCTTCTGTTTCTCACATCCTATCTTTGTGAAGCAGGGTTTCTGCAATAACAGTAACCA